GAAGAAGAAGAAGAAGAAGAAGAAGAAGAAGAAGAAGAAGAAGAAGAAGAAGAAGAAGAAGAAGAAAAGAAAAGAAAAGAAAGAGGGAGGGAGGGAGGGAGGGAGGGAGGGAGGGAGGAAGGAAGGAAGGAAGAAAGGAAGAAAGAAAGAAAGAAAGCTGAGGCTGGAGAGACGGCTCAGTGGTGAAGAGCTCTTTCTGCTCTTGCAGAGGACCCAGGATTGGGTCCCAGCACCCTCACCGTGGCTCACAGCCATCTGCAAATGTAGTTCCAGAGAATCTGACACCCTCTTCTGGTTTCTATGGGCACTTCACACACATGGTACACACATGCAGGAAAAAGACTCATACACGCTAAATAAAAATAGATAAATCTGAAAGGAGTAAATCAAACACAATATACCAATGAGAATGAAATATGTAGAGAAACAAACACTGCACCAAGAATCAGAAACTGTATAACTCAGAATACAAATGGGTAACACAGGGAAAAAAGTGAAAGATAAATCCTCTTAAAATGAAGACCAGGGTACTCCAGGGATAATAAAAATGACTAGATATATAATGGAAGAAATGAAAAGAACCAATAAGTCGGGCAGTGGTGGTGCACACCCTTAATCCTAGCACTCAGGAGGCAGAGGCAGGAGGATCTCTGTGAGTTCAAGACCAGCCTTGTCTATAGAGAGAGTTCCAGGACAGCCAGGTCTACACAGAAAAACCCTGTCTCAGAGAGGAAAAAAAAAAAAGAAACAATAAAATGAAACTAAACAAAATAAAGAGATAAAAGGATCAGAAAAAAATAAATGTAGAAGATGAGCAAAAGTATGGTATGTATAAAATTGGAGCCTCCTAAAGAAACTGTTGGCAGTGTGAATAAATTAATATTTATCTTAAACTTGTAAGCTAAGAACAAGCTTTCATCTTTATATAAACAAAAAAGATATGAATCTACATATTAGAAGTATGCCTGGGGACTAGAGAGATGGCTCAGCAGTTCTGAGTACTCACTGCTCTTCCAAAGGACCTGAGTTCCGTTCCCAGCACCCACATCTGGCAGCTCATAACTTCCTGTAACTCCAGCTCCAGCAGCTCTGATGCCATCTTCTGACCTCTGAAGGCATACACACACATAACATACATACATACATACACACACATAAATTTAAATTTTTAATTTAAACAATTAAGTCTACCTAAAGAAATTGACCTAGAAGAGTAAACTCTGGAATATTTCCTAGAACAATTTGGTTTTAAAGATAAATATTCTGGGGCCAGGAGATGGCTTAGTCAGTAAAAGCACTCGCCACCAGACCCAAGGACCTGAGTTCCATCCTCAAGACCCACATGGAAGGAAAGAACCACAATTGTCCTCTAATATCCACATGCGCATGTGTGTCTGTCTGTCTCTCACACACATACACACTAAATAAATAAATGTAAAAAAATAGAGACCAAGTTACTAATGATAAAGAAAAAAGGTATCAAAATTTTCTTGATAGCACCATGCTACAAAAAGCAATAAATCACCATTTTATAAAAACCTCAAAGAAACAGAGAGTGAAGGGTGGAGCCCCGCAGGATGATTATGGGCAGGCAAGGGCTGGAGTCTTCAAGTCCTCCTAGGCCATAGTAAAAAGCTAGGATTTTTTTTCTTTGTGTATACAATGTGCATGCATTTGTGTATCGTGTGTGTGTGTGTGTGTGTGTGTGTGTTCAGATGCACATGTATGTGCATGCCTATGGGAGCCAGAGTTGACATGAGGTGTCTTGCTCCATCTCTCTCCGCTTTACTTACTGAAGCAGTACCTCTTGCAGAATCCAGAGCTTGCTAATTCAGCTATTCCGCTAGCTTGCCCCAGGCATCCCCCATCTCTGCTTTCACTATCACTGAAGCTGCCGGCGAGTCACCACACCTGCCTGGCTTTTGCTTTTACAGCTACAGGAATGCTGGGGATCCAAACTCTGGTCCTCGTGCTTACACACTAAGCATTTTATCCGTTGAGGCGCCCCCCCCCCCGCCACAAAGCTAGCATTTCATCCCAAGAGTGATGGAAGGCCCTGGGAGGGGGTGGCAGGAGGAGACCTCAATGTCATATCTAACCTAAAGGATCTCTCCAAATACCTTCCAGGGAGGGAAGTGAGGATGGATGTAGAGACGAATGACCTCTGAGTCGACAGCGATGCTTACCCTGGAGTAGGGGTCTGGGGGTAGACGGGTGTCAGTGGAGGTATTTTTCGGCTAGAATGGAGGGCCACTGGATGGACTGGATATGAAGACTGAGGATAGTCAAGGACCACAGTCAGGTGCTTGACCTGAGCTAGAGAGAACACTGACACCATTTGTTGATATGGGCAAGACAGGGACAGCTGTCTCGGGAGCCCACTGCTTCAGAGTGGGCCGTGAGCAGGAAGGCGGGGCTGAACCTTAGGTGCTTTGTGGTGAGGTGAGAAAAAAGTGGAGGGAAAGCGAAAATCCTAAGGAAGCAAGTATCAAAATTTCAAAGACAAAGAGAACTTTTCACTAAGTACCCTGCACCTCCCTGTACATGGCAGCAGAGGGCGCTATTCTCTGTACTGGTTTTCCTAAAATCCATCAGAAGATGCATCAGGTTTACCTGCCCAGGGCAAATAGATTCTCCTTTCCTAAAGCAGCAGGGTTGAGGGGATGAAGTTGGCCGTTTCCAAGGCCCTGTGTCCAGGCTTGGGGCAGGAAAACTGCCCCTGTCACATCAGATCTGTCTGTTGTGCGGCTGATGTCAAATCTGCGCCTCAAAGCCTCTGCACATGCATCATGCGCTGCTTGTCTCTGTGATTCCAATCAGACCCTGATTCAGGGTCCTCTCGCTGTGCTTATTAAGACCGCCCTCCCTGTCTTGACAGCTGTAAAGGTTCTGGCCAGCACATGGATATCCCCAGAGGACATCCTGACCCCCAGGGAAGGCGGCGGCGGCCCACCCAAGGGGCACAAGGAGGCAAGGTGTTTTACAACAGCGAGTACGGGGAGGTCTCCCAGCCATGCGAAGAAGGCGACTGCTCCCCATCTGCTGGCTCCCCCTTCTTCACAGACAGCAGCTACTAAGGAAACACTCGGCAAGGCCTCCGACCCCTTGCTGAAACCAGGCTCTGACAGCTGGGGCTAGAGGGCATCCCTAGCAGGGCAAGGCTGGAGGCCCAGGCTGGGAATTCATCTCTAGCTCCAACTCTGGAGTTGTCTATTCCCCCTCTCCAGCCTCCCTAGCCAGGAAGAGTCAAAGTCAGACACAGGGCTCCCTTGAACTCTGGGCCATTCCTGTGCCCTTCACCAGACAGTCACCCGCACCCTCACGTTCAGTTGCCTCGGAGCTCAGGATTGGCAGGTGCTGGCCCTCGAATGAGCACTCTGGCAGAGACCCTTCTACAGGACCGACTTTCACTACCCTGGTGGATGGCAGGGTTCTAATAAAGAACGCATGTGTCTGGGAGTCACACAGAGGACCAAAGTGGAGTTAGACCACACAGCCTCCACGTCCTGGCCCAAACACGATCCCCTCCACTTGAAGACCCCCGCTTCCATCTGTCTTCCTGCTTCTTTCTCCTGGCCCTCCAGGGCTGAAGAGAGAAGGTGACATTTCCATTTCAGAGTCCTCTAAACACCTAACGAGCTCATGGCAGCTGTGTGTACGCAATGACAAATCACAATGAAGCCGCACCTCCGCCCTGAGTGCTAGAAGATCCTTGTTTTATCGAAGGTCAGATGCTGCTGTGAAGAATTTATTCTCCAAAGAGTCATGTGGAAAGAAGCCTAAGGACACCCTTCTGAAGCTCCTAACAACTGAGGGGGTGGTCATAGCACTCCAGTCACTCCAGTTCTTGGTCTCTCTCTCTTGAAGGCTCCCAGGCTCCACGTGCATGGCCTAGATCCTGAGAAACCGGCTGGTGTTCTGGACCTCCCTTGAGCCAGGATCTGTGGATTCTGTCAAGGAAGGCTTCAGGGGCTGGCACAGAGGACCACATGGCCTGGGGCCATTCCGCCATCACCCCATGTCCCCAGGCTACTTGGAGGCCCCTGCCTTCTGCTAGCCCTATACTTGGACCTGATACTTACACAGAAACAAACCAAACCTTTGTCCTGAGACACCGCTCCATGGAAGCTGGGACCTTCCTGCCCAGAACCCCTCCAGCCGAGCTCACACTGCCCAACCATCACTACCAGAGGAAAGCCTCACAAAGATGAGTCCCATCAACCCCCAGCCCCACCCCAACAAGAACGCTTGCAGGACAGGCGACCATACAGCAAGCCGGGGCTTGCTCAGCAGACCCTCCCCACTAAGTGTATGTTGTTCTTCTATGATATGTTGAATGCATGTATGATTCTAGTCTTCTTTGTGCCTGGGGGCCCTCCCCCAGCCCCATTCCTCCACGCCTAACCTGTCTGTGGGACTGAGTCTCAAGCTTGCCTCGTGGAAGTAAGAGAGACTGTCCTCTCGGAGGACCAAAGGCTGCGGTGGGTTTGCAGAGCCCTTGTCAACCTCCTCCACGTGTGTGTCACCTGTCCGCGTCACCTCTCCTGACTTCTAACTACACACATACAAAATGTACTGGGGAAGAAAATGTACTCTGCCCTTTTAGGCAGTGTTCTCAGAAATGATCTAAGATATTTAACGGAAGATAATAATAAATTTGATGCCAGTCCTTGAGTTAAAACGAATGGATTCTAAATAAGCTGTCTGTTAAATTCTGGTCTATGTCGTATAGCCCCCAAAGGCCTCTGGGCTCAAAGGAACCATGGTGTGGTCTCCTTGACAAGGCTGCTTGTTGAGCCCGGATCCGCATCCCTCCCTAACTCAGCTCACATTCCCGAAAACTGCCAGCAAAGGGCGCTGAGGAGGCATCAGGATGCCTGCTCAGCTCTCACCTAGTCTGTTTTGTGTGTGTGTGTGTGTGTGTGTGTGTGTGTGTGTGTGTGTGTGTGTGTGTGTGGTTTTTGTTTTTATTTATTTATTTAATTTTTTTGGTTTTTTTGAGACAGGGTTTCTCTGTGTAGCTTTGCACCTTTCCTGGAACTCACTCTGTAGCCCAGGCTGGCCCCGAACTCACAGAGATCCGCCTGGCTCTGCCTTCCGAGTGCTGGGGTTAAAGGCGTGCGCCACCACCACCCGGCCACCTAGTCTGTCTTTACCAGCTTGCTACACACATGTTCTCCTAATACCTACTTCATCTATAACGTAAAGCAATACCTTCTTGTCACCTACCAAAGTCACATGTTGCCCCCTGAGCACCAGCAGTGGTAGACACAGAGGACTCAGCTCCAGGCAAGTCCTCTGCACCAGCTCCCTACATCCTCTTCCGATCACACCAAGGAAGCAGGTCCAGCACACCCCTGAGGTTGTCTCCAGGTCAGATGTCCCAGGAGCCCAGGTGGGGAAAGCTAGCAATGGCCATTGGGAGGCAGCGGGCCTGTCAGCTGGACCAGGCTGGGGGTAGACTTAAGCACCCAGCAACAGGCAGCTAGCACAGTCGGATGGGCCCCGCGCCCAAGAGAACAGGAAAGAGCCTGGCAAAGGCCAGGGGCGAGGTCAGTACCCTGGTGGGCCAGCTGCACATTCTGGGCCTGTCCCGTGATTCCTGTTGTCCCCTGGTTGTCGTCATTCCAGGGGGAAGAGCCCCTCCCCACAGAGGCAACTGCTAGTGGCAGGGGTGCTTTGTTTGGTCGTGGCTTCTACAATAAATCTAAATCTGAACAGGGAAAAAAATCCACACTAAACACAAATATCTTGACACTTGGCGTTGTGTCATAACCAGTCGCATTTGACCTCAGAATCAGAGAAGTCTGTCCCCGGGACTAGATCTCCTCTCTCACTATCCAGAGAGACCAGACCAGGCTGGATTGTGGGGATGTGCAGGACTGAGAGTGGCAGGCAAGTGACCGACCGGATGTGGCTCCCTGAAGCTGGGTGAGCCTGGGTGCACCAGTGTCCATCAGATCCTGTGTCTCACCATGACCTGAGATCTTGAGAGCTTTGGTGGAAACCAAGGTGCTGGAAGGGCTTGCCTTGAAAGCCCAGAGGCCAAGTTAAATCCCCAGAACCCATTGTAAAAATGCCAGGTGGAGTGGCATGCATTTGTAATCCGAGCCCTGGAAGACAGGCAACAGGCAAACAGATCTCTGGGGATTATTAAGCAACCAGCCTAGCCTAGCCTACTCAACACGCTCTAGACCAGTAAGAGACCCTGTCTCAAAAAAAATCAAGGTGGATGACATCTAAAGAACATCCAAGGGGGACTTCTTGCATCTAGAGAGAGAGAGAGAGAGAGAGAGAGAGAGAGAGAGAGAGAGAGAGAGAGAGAGAGAGATCCTTTACCCTCTTCCCATCATACGAAAAAAACATCCACAAATCAAAAAGCAAGCCCTCACCAGACACAGACTCGTCCCTGCTTCTTGATCTTGGACTTTGCAGCCTCCAGAAGTCAAACAATGAATGAGTGTCGTGTTTAATCCAAGATCACAGACATTTGTTATGGCAAACTCAGCTGAGTCACCACCCTCCTGTCCACCCATCTGCATCAGAGTAAGTGGGGTTCTCATCTCCCCACAACGACCCTTCAAGCAATTTCAGAGAGACCTCTGGAGGCTGCAGCCACTGAGAGCAACAGAAAGCTTTGCAGGGAGAGGTGGGAAGCCCGTCTTAGAGGCTCGGGGGTGAAATGGACATTAACAGAAGGACCTGTAGCCCTCTATTACACAAAACCAGAAGTCCTGCAGTCAATGAGTCCATCGGTGACTCTAATCTAGGGAAATTTAGAGTTCAGGGATTGCTACCACCAAAGCAAGGGAGGTTACTTGTTTCCCTGTCCTGGACCTAATGATCTACACTGCCTTGCCATCAGTCACAAGTGCAGAGGGGTGCAGAATGCCATCAGTCATGGGTGCAGAGGGGTGCAGAATGCCAT